AAGTGCTGGCACTGTATTGATTGGCTCTGTTTGTTATACTACCCTAATGCACTGTTTCCACTTTTGGGAAAACACTAAATGAGATTACTGCCTATCATTAGGTAGCCATAAAATACAAACTGTCACACCTTCCATTCAGGAAAGGGTTTCCAAGATGCTTCCAATGTGCATTATGGTAAGTCTGACATACAGTTAGCAATTGATTTTTGTAGAGGAATGTTCTCTCATCTTGCTGATGAACCAGCCTGCTCTTAGGCAGACAATCATAAACTGCAAATGGCAAGATATCTCCTTGGTAGAGAAATGACATAGCCACCTAAAAGGGAAATGTCGCTAATCTCTCTTTATAAAAAGAAAGAATATTTTATTTAAATGGTTCAGGGCCTGGAGAGTCTGACTGATGGAGAAAGGGTAAGAGACCTAACAACGAAAATACTAATAGAATGAAACCTGTAACATCACGATTTCCCAGATCTTCAATATACTCATCACCTCTCTTAAATGCCTGTTTTAAGAGACCTCCATGGAGTATTTTCTAATGTACTGATGACATCTGCTCCATCTGTATTAGATCACCTCTTTTCAGAAATCTGCTTTCCTTCCCAGAATGGTCATTCAAGATATGATTTACTCTGTCAATAGGGTGCAAAGCACAGAGGAAGGGGAAAAATTGCATAGGAATGGCAGAAACAAATGGGGTTGCCTTGAGAAACGATGAATTTAAGATGACCAGACAAACACAGTCTGACAGTGGGTCTATTATAATCATGAATCTATTAGAATCGATTATAATCATAGAATATAACAGATTATTATAATAGGTTATGAGGGAAATGCTGGAATTGGCGCTGCTTGGAACATTCACAACCAAATTTGACAGAATAACAGGAAAAATAGTCCGCGTCTAGCAGGGGGATGCACTGGATGGCTTGATACCTCTCTCCAATCATTAATAGGTGGGATCCCAGCATTATTCTAAGCATTATTCTCATTTTAAAGAAATCGAAAATGGTTTCCTCAGCAAAAACCAAAATTGAAAGCAGCCTGATCTGGACAGGGCACTAGATGGAACAATTGCAACAACATGTTGGTATGGGGCTTACAATGACGTGTTGATTGGTGTTTCCTTTCTTGGCTTTCCCCCAAGCACCTCAACCTCCAAGAAAAATGCTTCTCTTCTTGATCAATTGTCTCCAAGAAAGTCATTCTCCTACCTTTTCAATCAAGCTGACGCAACGGAAACTGGTCTAGGGTGAACACACAATGAAAATAAGAGCTTTTTAAA